GACAGCATCGTGGAGGGCCGGACTCTTACCACAACGGAGCCCACTCCTTCCCTCTCCCTCTCTCTTTCCTCCTCCCCCTCCTTCCCTCTCCCTTCATGCCTACCTCTCGCCTCTCCCGCCCCCTCCTCCCCACACGCACGCACAAGACCACGGCTCACCTCCCACGTGTAGCTTTCTCTCTCGCTGGAGCGTAGCGTTTTACCTGTTAAGACGAATGACACATCGTGGCAGGCGCCGAACTCTACACAGAGCCCTCCTACCTCTCCTCTGCTCCCTCTCCTCTCTCGCCCCTCTCCCCCTCCCTGACCTAACCGCCTCCCCCACCCTCTCCCCTCCCCCTCCCCCACACGCGCACAACCGCCACGCTCACCTTGTAGCTTCTCTCTCGTGCGCTAGGTTTACCTGTTTAGAGAGACACATCGTGGAAGCGGTCGCGACTTCTACCACAGAGCCCTCCTCCCTCTCCCTCTCTCTCCTCCTCTCTCCCCACTACTCTCCTCGTCCCTCTCCCCTCCGCCACCCTCCCTCCCGCCGTACCCCTCCCCACACGCGCACACGCACGGCTCACTCTGTGTAGCTTCCTCAATACGTGCGTGAGCGCTGTACCTTGTTTAGGAGAGACACATCGTGGAGGGCCCGACTCTACATCCAGCAGCCTAGCTCCTTCAATAGTGTCTGCGCGGCAACGCTACGGGCTGCGGACCTGGAATCGTATCGGCGCGAGAGGAGCGAGGAGAGGGAGGAGGGTACGCAGTGTCTGCAAACACCAACTCCATTGAGCGAGAGTGAGTCTGAGGGAGGGAGAAGGAGGGAGAAGGAGGGGGAGGGAGGAGGAGAGCGAGGTGTGGGTGAGTGTGAGGGGGGAGGTTGGGAGGCGGAGAGAGGAGGGCAACGCAGAGGGAGCGAGGAGGCGAGGGTGAGCGTAGGCAGGGAGGAGGCGTACGACGTGTCTGCAAAACACCAACATGAGCAGAGTGAGTGCTTTGAGCTGAGGAGGGAGGAGGGAGCGAGGAGTGGAAGGACGGGAGGGGGAGGGAGGAGGGAGCGGAGGACGTGAGGAGCGAGGGAGCGGTACGCAGGTGTCTGAAACACCAACATGAGCAGAGTAAGTGTGAGGGAGGAAGGGAGGAGGGAGCAGGAGGGGAAGGAGCGTAGGGGAGGAGGATGGGAGGAGGTCGAGCAAGGAGGGAGCGGGGAGGAGGCGTACGAGTGTCTGAAACACCTAACATGGCAGCAGAGTGAGTGTTGAGGGAGGCCGGAGGGAGGGAGGAGGCGGCATGAGGAGGTGGGAGGGAGAGAGGGAGGGAGGGAGGGAGCGACGGGCAGCAAGGCAGGGAGCGAGGGAGGAGCGGTACTGACGTGTCTGAAAACACCAACATGAGCAGACGTGTTGAGATGTGAGGGCAGGGAGGGAGGAGGAGGCGAGGAGCGAGGGGAGGCGGCAGAGCAGGAGCGGAGGGGAGGGAGGAGCGTGAGCGAGGAGCGGAGGAGGGAGGAGTGCCGTACGCCACGTGTCTGAAACACCAACATGAGCAGAGTAATGTGTTGAGGAGGGAGGCGAGGGGAGGCCGAGGGAGGGAGGAGGGAGGAGGGTTATCGAGTGGTCTTGAAACACCAACAATGAGCCAGAGGTTAAGTGTTGAGGACGAGGAGGGAAGGAGGGGAGGAGGAGGCGGCGAGGGAGAGGAGGCCGAGGGAGGTAGGAGGAGGAGGCAGGGGTAGGAGGGAGGACGGGAGCGAGGAGGGAGGAGGTTACGACGTGTCTTGAAACACCAACATGAGCAGAGGAGTAATTGTGAGGGAGGCGAGGAAAGAGGCGAGGCGAGCGATGGAGGGCAGGGAGGAGGCAGGAGAGGAGGGGGAGGGAGCAAGAAAGCCAGCAGTAAGTACATCTTTTCCTTGTCTTCTACACCCTAAAACTCCTGCTGACCACGTCAAGCTATCAGCGCCACCTACTGTCAAACTTACGACACGTTTCCTCGATTTAGTCGACGACCTTACGTCTTACTTCTTCGCTCAGATGCAGAACCCATGGACACGGCGGGGCCCGCAGCAGCAGCGCCCTAGCGGACCAGACGGGAAGCGACCTGACACGATCGACATTAAGCGGTTCTATGTCGCCCGCATGTCCTACCAGGGGAGCAAGCACCTGGACGAGGCCTCGCGCGTCGACTTCGCCGGACCGTCTCCGAGACGTCGTCGTCCTCCCCCTCCACCCCGGTGGGTGGGCCCGCCCCGTCCGCGACTCCCGCCCGCCGCCGCCGACCCCGCCACCAGGAGCAGCCACCGGGCCGCCGTCTCGATCGCATCTGCGCCGGCCGCGTTGCCCGAGCGGGACGCAACGGCAACGCTGGACACAGAGGCTGCAGTGGGGCGGCCGCCTGGCACTGCGGGCGGGAGGAGCGCGGGCGGGGGGAAGCAGAAGCGAGTCGCTGCGGGGAGGGGGAGAGGGCGGCAGCGCACAGGGGCGAGGGGATCGAGGCGCTGTGCATGCGACAGCGGTGGGGAGCAGGCGGAGGGAGGAAGAGAGCGGCGGAGGCAGCCCGGGCGGGGGAGCGGGCTGGCGTTCCACGCCGTGCGCGGGGGTGCCACCGCGGCGCCGGCGTTCCGACCGATCGTATTCGAGAGCAAGCCGGTGAAGTCGTTCGCTCGCCTGGAGGAGGAGGAGGGGCGTCGCGGGACGACGGGGGGGAGGAAGGAGGAGGAGGGGGAGGAATCAGGAAGCCATGCGAGAGAGAGGGAGGCGGCGGCGCGAAAACGCAATCTCTCCGTCATCAGCGAGCGATCGGAGGCTGACGCCTCGGCAACGACCCACGCCACCGCGAAGGAGGAGGAGGAGGTTGCCACGGCAACCGCACCGCAGCCTCCGTCCGTCTCCGCGCGCATGCAGGCGATCATCGACGAGCCTTCGTCCTGCAGCCTCCAGAAGATGGCGCCACTGAAGATCCCTGTGCTCCGCAAGGTGGCGCTGTCGCCGGCGGTCGCCGTGGCGACGGAGACAGCCGAGTCAAAGCCGTCGCTGCCGAACAAGGAAACGCCGGTGCAGAGCGGGCGCCCCCTGGTGGCTGAGCAGAGCGGGCGCCCCCTATCGGCCGTTCAGAAGCGCAGCCTCTTCTTCGAAAACCTCAGCGGGAAGAGCTATCCGCCAGGCGGCGCCACGAGGCGGGAAGCCGCCGACGCCGCGAACGTAGGTGGCGCCGCAAAGCGCGTAGGTGGCGCCACCGCGGCGGCGGCAAACAGTCGCTTCTACGACGGCGCTCGCGACGCGGACGCGGCACCACCAGGGGGCGCCGCTGCCGCCGTCGCCCGCGCTCCTAGCAGCAGGTTCTACGAGCTGAGAGAAGGCGAGGAGGAGGAGGTGGAGGAGGAGGAGAGGAGCGTGGAGGCGAGGGTGGCCACGCGGGACTTCTACGATGTGAGAGGTCGCGCGGTCGTGTGGCGTAACGACGAGCGCGCCGGCGCGGACATGCGCCGCTGCCACGCGAGTCGCCATGACGACGAGCGAAGCGTCGCCGCGCGCCACTGTGACCGCCGAGTCGAGCACGACGACGTCGCCGTTTGCCGCGGCAACGCCGCCGCCGCCCGCCTGCCTCAGCCGCTTCTATGATGCGACGCGAGAGGGCGACGACGCTGAGCGTGTGACGACGTCCGCCAGCATTCCAACACCAGCAGGTTTTACGATAGCGAGGAGGAGGGGGAGGGGGTGAGCGCGGGGAGGGGCGGGGCGGCGTCGGTGTTCTACGATGCTGCGTCGTCGTTGCCCCGGCGACCTGCTCCGCGCCACAGCACGACGCGCGACGCCCCCTCGGCAGCGCCCCCTGCCGGCGACGGCAGAGAGGCGAGTTCTGCGGATAGTGCCGCGGTGGCTCCCCCTCGTGCGCGGGCTGCTGCGGTGCTGCGCTGGCGGCCGACCGCGGCGGCGGATCTACGCGCGTGGCGATGTACACGGGAAGCGACGTCTGTGCCGACGCCTGCCGTCGCGGCGCAAGAGCCCCCGAGCGCCCCTGGTCGGCGACGGCGGCGGCTCCGGCTGACGAGACACGTGCGCGCCGCCTGCCGTGCGCAGAAGCGGCACGCGCCGATGGCGCCGCCAGCGCCTCCGAGCGACCTCCAGCGACCCGTGCCGAAGCCGCGCTCGCCGAACCCGACCGGTGGCTTCCCCGCGCAGCGCGCCTTCAACCCGTTCGCCGAAGACATGTCGGACGACGAGGGCCGAGAGACGGCGGCGCCATCTGGGGGATCCGTTCGGAGACGCCGATGACGAGGAGGTTGGCGAGGCAGCGCTGGCGCCACCGCGTGGCGTAGCGACGAAGCTCGGCAATCCGTTTGGCGAGGAGGAGGAAGAGGAGGAAGTCGCGGCGACGCGGCTGGGGTCGTCGGCAGGTCGCGCCGAGGTCAACTCGAGTCAGGTCGGCGAGGGCACGCCGGCGCGAGGTCAGGAGGGGTCACCACCAGAGGAGGTGCGGTCGGCCGGAGGGAACGCCGGAGGGAACAGCCGGAGGTGACGAACGGTCGACCGGCTCCGACGCCGCCGCCAGATACGCGCGCGCACGTCGCTGCCCCCTGGTGGCGGGCCGCGGCCTGCTTCCGCCGTCCCCGTCGCGGCGTCCTCGGGCAAAGCCGGTGGCGCCCCCCGGTCCCGCCGTCAGTTTCGGTGCGCGCCCCCGGCGGTCCCCGCCGCCGCCTGCCGCACATCCGCCGAAGCTGAGGGCGCCGCGCGTGCCCGCGCGCTGTGGTGGAGTGGCGCCTCGCCGTCTGCCCGTTCGCCGCCGCCGAAACCTCAGCGCACGTTCGTGCAGGTGTCCGCGCGTGGCGCCCCCTGCCCAGGAAACCGATGGAACCTCCGCCGCCGCCCGCCCACCGCCGCCGCGGAACGACGAAACAGAAGCGCATTCATGCCGAGGGTTTCTCTCCCTGGGTTTCTCCGAGACGGAGCGAGCGGAGTGGGGCGGGAGAGAACGGGGGGGACACCGCGCGGGAGGAGGAGGAGGAGAGGGAGGAGGGGGAGGCAGGAGGAGCAGGGAAGACACTGAAGAGACATGCACCGAAACCTCCACCTTCAGGAGGAAGTGAGCTACCAGAGATTAATGACTGTCTACCTGTAATAATGACTGCCTACATGTAAAATGACTTCTACCTGTAATAATGACTCTGACCTAACCTGTATATTAATGACTGTCTACCTGAGATTAATGACTGCCTGCCTGTAATTAATGACTGTCTACCTGTAATTAATGACTGTCTACCTGAGATTAATGACTGCCTGCCTGTAATTAATGACTGTCTACCTGAATAATGACTGCCTACCTGTAATTAATGACGTCTACCTGAGATTAATACTGCCTGCCTGTTAATTAATGACTGTCTACCTGTAATTAGTGACTGTCTACCTGAGATTAATGACTGCCTACCTGTAATTAATGGACTGTCTACCTGTAATTAATGACTGTCTACCTGTAAGTAATTGGACTGCCTACCTGTAATTATGACTCCTACCTGTAATTAATGACGGCCTACCTGTAATTAATGACTGCCTACCTGTAATTAATGACTGCCTACTTGTTCAGAACGAAGGAAAGTTACCTGTTTTCATGTCTTTCTCGTTAATTTCTTCTCCTTTTTTTACTTTTGTCATTAATGTGTTTCAGTCTGACTACATATCTACCGACCTGTATGTAAGGCATGTTAGTTATAATTATTGTTCCTCTACCTATTTAGTTATAGGTGAAAGCCTATATACAGGAAGGTTACCTGTTACCTATTTAGTTATAGGTGAAAGCCTATATACAGGAAGGTTACCTGTTATTACCACCACCATTCGTACCTTTCTATCTACCTTTCTAGCTATAGCAGAAGCAGGGTAAAAAAATACACGGGAGCGATGAGCGATTCGCTCTTCAAACCCTCCGAAATCGCTTCCGTGAGTCTCAAAATAGCTCCCGTAAAAAATCCCGACGAGATCTATTTTTCCCACAGACTTGAAAAAAGAAAAAAAGTAATTTTTTCCCTGGGCTGAAGATACTTTACCTGTAATTCACGACACCTATTCGCAGTTTCACCTGGTTATTGGGTCAAGCTATTAGCTATTCAGCTATTAGGTCAAGCTGCGTCTATACGTCGCGATAACCGATAACTCGTACCCTCGGTTGTTTGTGTCCGGTTATGCACACTTGACCTGCTCTATATATCCGGTTAAAAAGCTAACACATGCGCATCTATTGCCATCGTTAGTGATCGCATCTATAGCCATAGCCTTGTCTTATATTACACACCGTGCGAATCGGTTATAGATTTATCTGTGAAGAGCAGCTGTCAAAGTGTGCGTGCTGATAATTGTGATTTATAAATTATATATATATATATATATATACTATATATATATATATCAGGAGTTAATGAGACCTGATATATATGTGTGTGTGTGTGTTGTTGCGTGCGTGTGTGCGTGCGTGCGTGCGTGCGTGCGTGCGTGCGTGTAGATATGTAATATATATACACACACACATATACATATATATATATAATATTTACCACACCACACACACACACACACACACACACACACACACACACACCACACACAACACACACACACACACACACCACAACCCACACGCCCCCACGCGCCACGCACCCACGCCCCCACGCCCACCCCGCACGCCACGCACGCCATCACGCATCACGCACGCACGCACACACCACACACACACACACACACACACACACACACACACACACACACACACACACACACATTATAATAGTGGTATAGTTTCGTAACCAGCATTTGGCCAGTAGCAGCAGTCGCAGCAGCAGCAGCAGCAGCAAGTTAACTTTCCCTGACCTGATATCGACGTCGTGACTTAGCGTGGGATTGTTGTGTGTGTCAGTCCTTCGTTACGACTTCCTCACTTACGCAGAAGGGGTCGTTGTCGTATCAGGTACTACAGATATGTACCCGAGGTAGTGTTAGGTTGTTTCAGTATTATGTTATATATTTTATATGAGGTATTGGTAAATAGGGTTAGGGTTAGGGTTAGGGTTAGGGTTAGTGGGTTAGCGTTTAAGCTAGTAGGTTGTAGGTAGGGTTAGGGTTAGTTTTGGATAGGGCTAGCACTCTTAGTACAAGTCTGGCTACACTTTTTGTGTACATATATCGTACTGCGTTACATTGCTAGTACCTGATACGACAACGAGCCCTTGACGCCTGCACTTACTCACTCTCCACACAACACCACACACAACACACACACCACCACACACATCACACACACACACACAACACACACACACAGCGCCGCCACTGTCTCATCTCATAATTACGTCTATCTGAACGATCAGCATCCTCTTTATCTCTGTCTCTGTGTGGGTTAGCCACTGTTTCACCCTGCTACATGACATTGCTACGTGCATTTATCTACTTTATGTGAATAAGGTGAATATTTATATGATATATTGCATATAATACTATATATGATACTTTACGTGAGCAGGGTGCGAAAGGAGAGTATAGCGAGTCCGGAGTCAAATACTCCCTGATTTACTGTCGGACTCCCTGATTTGACATATGCAGGAGTCCGTGTGACTCCCTGAAAATTCTGCTAGACTAACTAGCCTCGCCGAATTACTGTATTTGTTCAGCTAATGTCCAAAGAAAATTTGGCAGACGTGCAACCACATGAATCTTAAAAATAAGCACATGCGTTATTGTTAATATCTTTAATTTTAAACCTCATTAGACCTCATTTTGCCGCGGACTCCCTCTTTTTGAGGGTAGGGAGTCCGTTGGACTCCCGTGTTCAAAAGTTAATTTCTACCCCTGCGTGAGTATCATAGTGTGTACAGTAGTGACGCTGTATAGAATAGTAACAGTGAGGACTAGGTAACGTTGGTTGACGCAGCGATGCTGAGAGAGCGCAGGAAGAAGGTGTGTTAGTGTTAGTGAGTGATGCGATTATACGAGATGGTAATGTCAGTGTCTGCTCTGTTCATGTAGTACCTTCAATGCCGTGTCGTGTTTCTTCCATGCCAGGCCGAACCTTTCATACCATGCAGTATCTCATGCATCATGTCATGATTTTATACCGTGCCAAACCTTTCATAGCATGCAGTATCTCCTACATCATGTCATTATTCTATTCCATGCCAAACTTTTTCTAGCATGCAGTATCTTCTACATCGTGTCACGATTCTATACCGTGCTGAAATTTTAATACTTCTGTGTCATGTCATGATTAGTATATTCTACTATATCATATCGTATCGTATCGTGCTTCTAATACGGTGACAAACCTGTTGTGTTGTAGATCACTAAGGAGCGCATCAACCCGCAGGACATTAAGCTGGAGCTGCTGCAGCTGGACATGCAGCAGACAGAGTTAGAGAGGAAGGGAGCCGAGGTCGAGCAGAAACTCAGACACTGGGACAGTAAGTGACAACATCTCACTAGTGTAGCAGGCACTGGGACAGTAAGTGACAGCATCACTAGTGTAGCAGACACTGGGACAGTAAGTGACAACATCTCACTAGTGTAGCAGACACTGGGACAGTAAGTGACAGCATCAATAGTGTAGCAGACACTGGGACAGTAAGTGACAGCGTCACCAGTGTAGCAGACACTGTGACAGTAAGTGACAGCATCTCACTAGTGTAGCAGACACTGGGACAGTAAGTGACAGCATCACTAGTGTAGCAGACACTGGGACAGTAAGTGACAGCATCACTAGTGTAGCAGACACTGGGACAGTAAGTGACCTCTCATGTACCTGACACTTATGTCACGCCTATATGTGTGCGTGGCGTGCGTGCGTGCGTGTGCATGCGTGTGTGTGTGCGTGTGTGCATGTGTGTGGCGTGTGTGCGTGCGTGCGTGTGCGCGTGTGCACATAGGTGTGCACGTCTGATGGTGTGCATGTGCGTGCACGTGCACATTTGCGGGACGGAACACAAAGTTCCTACGAACAAACGATATCTCGTCGTTGCGTCGACCACGGCGCGTAACCTTTGCATGACCTTTGACCTCTGACCTTCAGCCGACTCGGACAACACGTTGGATATGAGCGCGCACAGCGACATCGACGATGACGACGAGGGATTGGTCGAGTGGTTTGAGCTGGTCAACACGAAGAACAGGCTGCTACGCCGCGAGAACGAGCTAGTGTACATGTAAGTAACGAGTATTAATTAGTACATAACGAGCTAGTCTACATGTAAGTAGTGAGTATTAATTAGTACATAACGAGCTAGTCTACATGTAAGTAACGAGTATTAATTAGTACATAATGAACGTAGTCTACATGTAAGTAATGAGTATTAATTGAGTACATAATGAGCTAGTCTACATGTAAGTAACGAGTATTAATTAGTACATAACGAGCTAGTCTACATGTAAGTAACGAGTATTAATTAGTACATAACGAGCTAGTCTACATGTAAGTAACGAGTATTATTAGTACATAACGAGCTAGTCTACATGTAAAGTAAGCGAGTATTAGATAGTACGATAACGAGCTAGTCTACATGTAAGTAACGAATATTAATTAGTACATAACGAGCTAGTCTTAATGTTAGTAAGGATAAGCAGTACATAATGAGGAGCTATAAGTAACCTTTAATACTGTATTATACATTGTAGTCATGGTTACATTGTCGTGGTTACATTGTTTCCATGGTTATGTTGTCATGGTCACGTTGTCATGGTTACATTGTTACCATGGTTACGTTGCAGGCAGAGGCAGCAGGAGCTAGAGGACAGACATGAGGAGGTGGAGTTCCAGCTGCGCCGGCTCATGGAGAAACCGGGTGAGTGTACACATTCCTTATCCTCAGCTACATACGCGCCCGTGTGGCACGTAAACTATAGCATTGTATCATGCTAATGTTACTTTCATGTATGTTATGTAGACTATGCTACGTAGCATTGTATCATGCTAATGTTGCTTTCATGTATGTTATGTAGACTATGCTACATAGCATTGTATCATGCTAATGTTGCTTTCATGTATGTTATGTAGACTATGCTCATAGCATTGTATCATGCTAATCTTGCTTTCATGTAGTTATGTAGACTATGCTACGTAGCATTGTATCATGCTAATGTTGCTTTCATGTATGTTTATGTAGACTATGCTACGTAGCTTGTATCATGCTAATCTGCTTTCATGTATGTTATGTAGACTATGCTACGTAGCATTGTATTCATGCTAATGTTACTTTCATGTATGTTATGTAGACTATGCTACGTAGCATTGTATCATGCTATATTGCATTGTACCTTGCAGCTGTTCGATATCACATTGTACCATGCAGCTGTTCTATATCACATTGTATAATGCTATTGTAGTTCTTAAGTTATGTAAGCTAGTGAAAAATAACTCTCTATCTCTCCTACAGAGGGCGTTCTATCCCTCTATAACTCTCTATCTCTCCTACAGAGGGCGTTCTATCCCTCTATAACTCTCTATCTCTCCTACAGAGGGCGTTCTAATCCTTCTATAACTCTCTATCTCTCCTACAGAGGGGTTCTATCCCTCTATAACTCTCTATCTCTTCCTACAGAGGGCGTTCTATTCCTCTATAACTCTCTATCTCTCCTACAGAGGGCGTTCAGACGGCAGACGACAGGAAGCTGGAGGAAGCTCTCCTCGCGGAACTCGTCGACATCGTAACGAGTCGCAATCAGATCGTTGAGACGATCGACGCTGACCGCATCCGTGAGGAGGAGGAGGATCGCAGCATCTCCGAGATGATGCTGAAGCAAGGTAGGGCTTCATCATTTGCTGCAGCGGGAGGAGGGGTGGAGGAGGGGGAGGAGGAGGGGGAGGGAGAGGAAGAGGAGGATCGCGGCATCTCCGAGATGATGCTGAAGCAAGGTGAGATAGGGGGGAGGGGGAGGGAAGCTGAGGAGGAGGAGGAGCAGGGAGAGGGAGGAGGAGGACGGAAGTGGGGAGGAGCATGCCGGATGATGATGATGAGGAGGAGGAGGAGGAGGAGGGAGATTCACACAGCATCCCTGCAGTCATAGACAGACGTGTCAATAATTTATCGTGCCGCGTGTCTTTATATAACATTGATGAGTTCACTAGTTTGTGTTTGATTCACGTGCATTGTGCAATGTCGGCAGGTATGCGTAAGGCAGAGGTGGAAGAGGACACCGGGAAGAAAGGCAAGAAGAAGAAGAAGGAGAAGAAGGACAAGAAGAAGCACAAGCACTGACCTATAGACTGCCGCCCGTTCTGCACGGACACCGGTACATATAGTTTGCATTTAAACCGTCGCGCGTCTATGCCTGACGTGACGTGGACGATAGCGGGGGAGCAGGCGATTGATTCGTCAGAGCGGACGTGTACACGTGTTTGATGACATCATCAGAACGCGTGCACGAGGGCGGACGTCATTCCGCCCACAAGCTCCAGACGTTTCCGCAAGGACAGCTTCCGTCGTCGTGGCAACAGTGGTATGACAGGTTACATCGTCGTGGCAACAGTGATACGACAGCTTATGTCGTCGTGGCAACAGTGGTACGACAGCTTACATCTTCGTGGAAGCCATGGAATAACTTTTTCCGTCGTCGTGGCAACAGTGGTATGAGAACTTCCATCGATCCGAGAGATGTTCCGTGCACACGCGCACCGTGCGTGTGACCGGCAGGGGTTGTACAGCACCCCACACCAAGGAGCTAAATATAACAAGGAGAGGAAGCGGATTGGCTGTGTGCTTTTCACCTCAAGGGCGCCATCTATGGACCATAATCAGCTGAAACGGCTGTGCAGACCAAACCCAGAGACAATAGAACACTAATCTGTTCCTAGGGTCTCTGCCGAACCCAAATTTGGGCCAGATATGGCGGCGCTTCCTCTCCTTGTTATATTTAACTCCTTGCCCCACACAGGTGTGCTGCCCTATATTGTCCATGTTGTGTCATGCAGGTGTGAATGGTTGCACCTTTATCGCGCCGGCTTTCGATGACGACGAGGTGTGACTACAGGTGGCACCACCGTCGCCCCCCCCATGGTTCGTCGAGACGGCGGTATTTACGCAGACTTTGTAGACTCAGACTCGTAACGCATTGCTATCTCTCACGTGCTGTCGAGAGAGAGAGAGAGAGAGAGAGAGAGAGAGAGAGAGAGAGAGAGAGAGAGAGAGAGAGAGAGAGAGAGAGAGAGAGAGAGAGAGAGAGAGGCGTTCTCTTTCTCTCGCCACCGATTCGCAATGAATTAGTCATTAACTATGGCAGAATCCAGCCCAGCGGTCGTGGAATATAGGTGTGGTTCCAATGCCCCTATCGAATGTTCGCCCCGTGACGTCAGTGTACGTCACGCACCGAACTTCCGCGCGACCTAACCCTAACCCTAACCCTGAACCCTAAACTTCTAACCTTAACCCAACACAAACTAATACTAACACTAACCACTTAACGACAAAATAGTTAAACTGATAAAGATAGAAAAATAGAAAATATAAAATACCTATAAACAGCATGGATTCAACAAAAACACGCGCACCTCAAGAACGAAACCGTCCGTCCGCATCACCCCACGCAGCTGCGCTATTGCTTGGTTCGCTCGAAGATGCTGTTACTCGCGCATGTGCGCCTAATTGCCATACATCGGCCATGGCGCGTCCCGCCTGACTCTGGTCATGGTGGTCCGGACTAGCCCATCCGACCGTCACACTCGAGTACACTGCACGTCACGCTCGAACATTCGATGGCACCTCGGAAACATATATCCACTGCGCCCACCGATACGTTCCACAGCGATAACAACGCCATCCTCTAGCTGGGACACGAACACGCCACACACCCTACATTACCTCTACCACGTAAGATTTTATATACACGTTAAGATTTATTGCATATTTAACAACGTGAGCGATCATAAATAAGAAAGCTTTAAATACGGAGCAGGACATCTGTCTACTAGTATCCCCCTCCCTATCGCCTACCAATTCCCACCCATGCTACATCCGTGATCGGCAGACTACAAACAGCCTGCATGCGCGTACACAACATGGCGGAAATCGGCGCATCACGCAATTAGTAAGGTGCTCCGTATATAATTACTTCGTATATATCATTGTCGGCTTGATTTGTACCGAACGTATGTATGTGCATAAATGTGAACGATACACTATATAATACATTAGCTTAAAATACACATCAACGAACTTGTGAACTTAAACAACAACAAGCTCATGAATGTAAACAAGTTTGTTAGCGTAAACAACGGACAGCTTTGAAAGTAAACAACATACAAGCTTGTGACGGTAAAGCAACAAGCTTGTGAAGTAACCACGACAACAAGCTTGGTAAAGCTAAACAAAAGCTTGTGAAAATAACATCAAAAGCGGTGGAAGTAAACAACAACAAGCTGCGTTAGTGAAGACAATAACAAGCCTTGGCGATATTAAATAGGCCCACGTTTCCGTCTCGGCGCGCGCCCCTAGGCACGCCCTCTGGTGGTAGAACCGGAAGCTTCCACTTGGAACGAGCGGAACGTTCCACCTCAAGTAATGGGCGGCCATCAGCGCTCGACGCCTGACGATTGGCGGCGTGTGTGGGGCAGATGCGCGAGCCGCGTGATGTTACCGCTGTGACGCCCAGTCGCCACGTGCTGTCACCCTCAGTCCTCCTCGTTGTACGTCCACCAGCGACGCCGCCTGTGTCACCATCCAACATACGTAACATGTTATGGACTAACGCCCCATTAAGAAGCTGGTTCCCGAACTTGCTATCATTAATGATTAATGATTGTATAATACCCTAAACCCTGATACGGCCTAACGCCCCTAAACCTAAATGACATTACACAATAATATATGACCATGACCATGTATTATATATATACTAGTTATATATATATATATTGTTTACTTATTGACCATTAATGAGCATTAAAGTTGAAGCACTCCTAATGGAGCTATCCACCCATGCTTATACGTACACGATATGTGATACATAACGCATTATTGTCCGCTGATGTGGAACACATTAGTTGTACATCTGTGGTTATACTACACGTTATAGTACAGCTGTGTACTGGTACATGTGTTATATACAGCTGTGTTGTACAATGTGTTTTATAGTACAGCTGTGTTGTAGCATGTGTTATAGTACAGTTGTCTAACCAATACATAACTCTGTCTATACGCACACCTGTCTGATAACTCATCATATTACGCCCTGGTCCGCCGTGCCATCCTTGCTACTAACTACGCAACAACACGGTTACTCAACAATCAATATTATATTACCTAAACTAGACGCAGCTCGAGAGAGCCGAGGCACCGCCTCCGCGCAAGCCGCACCTGAAATTCTCCTGCAATGTGAAATTTGTTTATTAAATATAATTAATTCAGTTAAGTGAAACAATTAATTAATTAACTTACAATAATTAATTCGCATCGGCGGATAGTGCGCAGCGTGCACGCGTCCGGCGCGGAGGACTGTGGTCTTGCCCCCTTAGTCGCTGGTTGCGTGTTCTGTCAAGTCTACAAGCCCAGTCGGCAACTAGCCGACAGTGAACCTGGCAAACGTGCACTG